GACGTCCAGGCACCATGAGGGTTAAAGTATATATGTGAGTTGCGATAACCTTAACGCTACGATGATTTTGTGGAACGGACGCCTGAATTCTAAAGGTGGGCCGTTGTATGGTATTAAATTCATACGTTTCAACTTTTGACGTGTTTGAAGTATTATTGGTCTTAACTCAATTGGATTATGCCGTGGATCGTGTAGGTGTCAGCCTGTTCACACTCAACATTATAATTATAAAAACATTATAAATGGCAAGTAATAAATAAAATACTAAACTCGCTCCCGTGTTAAACCAATTTTATGAAACTCGTTCAGATACCACAACTATTCACGCGTTTCATAAAATTGGTATTACACGGGAGCTCGTTTAGTATTCTATATATGTTAAATGTAAAGGCGTAAGTTATTTGTCCATTGTCACCTTGGCATTGTGACGTCATAGTTTCCTAAATGTTATGACGTGACGTAACTATATGTTACTACTTCATGTCCGTTATTCAGGTATGGCCTGATGAGACTCGTACGTGGTACGAGTTGAAAGCGCTAGCGTATTAAAACTGTGTTCAATCTTACTCCACTTCTTTAATTATTACTATATATATATATATATATATATATATATATATATATATATATATATATATATATATATATATATATATATATGTATATATATATATATACAAAAATGAGGTAAATATTCACTCGGTGTACATGTAATATATAATAAAATAATAAAGTCCACGTTAGTCCATCATCTTCTTTATATCAGTTTCATACATAGTACTTTCGCTGTCTCATGACAGCTCTTCAGTGTAACTGACATATACATATAATGACGTCATACTTATGATGACGTCATAAATTACAACTGTGACGTCACAATGTATTTACACACTCCAGCGACGACACCAAGTAATTTAACAATTGTAGGGAGACATTTGAATTAAATATACAGTATTTGTAAAGTAACAGTGCAACATTTACGATTGAAATGACAAATCTATTAATACATTCTAGAGTTCAACTTTGGTTTCATCAATTGGATAAACATTTGTTCTTTTTCCAGTCTCAGCTGCTTGTTACTTGTATACAATTTATAAAACGGAAAAATAGTAAATTTCCCGTATCCGCAATCACATTGCAAACACATTGATGATTGCGGAAACGGGAAATTTACTATTTTTCCGTTTTATAAATTGTATACAAGTAACGAGCAGCTGAGACTGGAAAAAGAACAAATGTTTATCCAATTGATGAAACCAAAGTTGAACTCTAGAATGTATTAATAGATTTGTCATTTCAATCGTAAATGTTGCACTGTTACTTTACAAATACTGTATATTTAATTCAAATGTCTCCCTACAATTGTTAAATTACTTGGTGTCGTCGCTGGAGTGTGTAAATACATTGTGACGTCACAGTTGTAATTTATGACGTCATCATAAGTATGACGTCATTATATGTATATGTCAGTTACACTGAAGAGCTGTCATGAGACAGCGAAAGTACTATGTATGAAACTGATATAAAGAAGATGATGGACTAACGTGGACTTTATTATTTTATTATATATATATATATATATATATATACTCTTCAAAAAATGAAACTTGACACCGACTTTCAAAATGTAATATAATGCGGTTGTTTCAAAAAGGGCCACAGAAACCATAATTGAAACACTGTTTGAAGATCAATGTGCACAATGTTAACAACATTAATCGTGTCACCTAGACAGACACACGTACACGATACAGTTAATGTCACAGGGGTACAGAAAAAGTCAGTATAGGTTGTGCCCACCACGTGCATCAATCACCGCTTGACACCGACGACCCATAGATGCAATCAAGTTGTCAATAACAAGCTGTTGGATGTGCTGCCATTCATGCTGAAGTGCATCAAGAAGCACCGGAAGTGTTTGGGGCGGTGGATTCCTTCTGCGAACGCGTCGATCCAACTCGTCCCACAGATGCTCAATCAGGGACAAATCTGATGACCGGGCTGGCCAAGGTAATGTCTGGATGTTGTTGTGCTGTAAGAAGTCCTGACAAACACGTGCAACATGCGGTCGAGCGTTGTCCTGCTGGAACTGTCCGCCATGAACGTTGACGTAAGGAAGAACGTAAGGCTGTAGGATCAAGTCTTTGTAACGCCCACCTGTCAATGCACCTGTCACATGCACGAGAGGCGTCCTACCAACGTGATGAATTCCGGCCTATACCATGACACTCCCGCCGCCAAATGGGACAACCTGCTGCACACAGTTGGGGGCGTAACGTTCACCCCGACGCCTGTAGACACGTGCGCGCCCATCAGCACGTGTGAGTAGGAAACGGGACTCGTCAGTGAACAGTACATTTCTCCACCTTGCACGTGCCCATCTAACCCTCTGTTGGCACCAAAGCAGACGGTCAATACATGACGTCGAACAGGTCTTCGTGCAAAAAGTCCAGCCTCCCTCAGTCTGTTGCGTACCGTTTGATCTGATATTCTGCGTACCCCAGGGATCTGTGTGGTTGTAGACGTGGCTGTGGTAGTGCGGTCTAGGAGGTGTCGCAGCCGGATGCATCGATCTTGTGCTTGGGTTGTCACCCTTGGTCTTCCTGACCTTGGTCTGTCGTCAACTCTGTTGGTGTTGTTGTATCGGATCCACAGTGCGGAGATTGTCTGTCTGGCTACGCCAAAGTGCCTGGCCACCTCTTACTGAGTTGCTCCAGCTTGTAATCTCCCAATGGCGTTGTTCCGTTGAGCTGCATTCAGTCTGTGCACTCTGTCACCGCCTCTAATGCCGTTATAAGGACAGCCGTTTATGTGGATTTTTATACCCATTCAGCAGGGGGGGGGGGGGGCATTCTTGCCTAAATGCAGGATCCTGTGCTGCACCTTCTTTACAGGCGGTTGCGTTTGGATGAAGCTGTAAAATTGATCCCCAAACGCTACGGTTATGTGCTTGTGTTTTCGCGAATTATAGACACATCATCTGTCTGTTTGACTTATTTGGTTCTCATTTAATGTAATTGTTTTAGATATTTGGCAAAAAGTGGTTTTACATCTATGTCAAGTTTCTTTTTTTTTAAAGAGTATATATGAAGGTGTAACTTAAACCAACACAATGTCCATGCACATTATATATGAAGGTGCTACTTAAACCAACACAATCCCCATGCACATTATATATGAAGGTGCAACTTAAACCAACACAATCCCAAAGCACATTATATATGAAGGTGCAACTTAAACCGACACAATGCCCATGCACATTATATATGAAGGTGCAACTTAAACAAACACAATCCCCATGCACATTATATATGAAGGTGCAACTTAAACCAACACAATCCCCATGCACATTATATATGAAGGTGCAACTTAAACCAACACAATCTTCATGCACATTATATATGAAGGTGCACCTTAAACCAACACAATCCCCATGCACATTATATATGAAACAAACAAATATATATAGAATTTGGTTGTTGGTTATAAGCTGGTTATGAGTTCTGAACTCGTAATTGTAGGGTTTGGTTTGTTGTTTGACGCCGCACTCAGCAATATTCCAGCTATCTGACGGCGGTCTCTAAATAATCGAGTCTGGACCAGACAATCCAGTGATGTACATCTTGAACATCGATCCACGCAATTCGGATCGATGACAAGCAACCAAGTCAGCGAGACTGACCACCCGATCCCGTTAATCGCCTTTTACGACAAGCATAGTTGCCTTTTACGGCAAGCATGGGTTGCTGAAACCCTATTCTACCCCGGATCGTCACGGGTCTGTTATTGTAGTGATGGAGCTGGGACGTGATATGTCGTCCAATGAATATATATTCGTGAATAATTACGTTATTCATAGGTATTGTTGCCTTGCCTTTGCTTGTGTTTGTTACGGGTGCTACCGATGGATCCGCTCACATTTTAGCCTTCATCTGATTACCGTCATTATTCCAGACACAAATGGACTTTTTGTTGAGATTTCATATGATTATGGAAAGGGTTAACACAGAGATTGAATTAATAGACAATTTTGGAAAATGTACAGACGGACATATTTGTACAACACACTATTCAGCATCAAACATTTAGTGGTGACATGATAGAGGAACAATGACAATCCTATAGACTGTTGATCCAAATGTTATACAAGAGAAAGACGTTTCAAATGACTTTGTGTTATAATGAACGATTTGAAGGAAATAGGTCACCTTGACCTACCTAAACTACCCAGAACACATATGTTTCTTCTGTGAATATCAATAAGTGGCATGCTAACTGATACTGTTTTCGAGGTGTTCTCAAACAATAACTTAATCATGAAACTTAAAACTCTTTAATCAATTAAAGGAGATACGATTTTATAGAAGTTAAAAGCTTCGTGGGTTTTGTTCATGTCAATGACGTCGACGTCAACACCATTTGATAAGAGTAGCTAAATTATGTTGATACCCGTCGCTGAGGTAACGCCGAAGTTTTGCTACTTCAGTTGTGCGCTATCAACCAAGTCACCAAGCTTCTCCGCCACCATCATATATACTCGACAACAAAATGAAACTATACATCATGGAAAATCGACTCTAATTTATTGCCTTAGAAACGTATGTGAAATATACAAATTGTAGAAACCCCATGTTTCATCAAAACAGTGTTCAGTTCGTCTGTGACACTTACAGTCCAAACGACGTACCATCGTGCACGTGCATTGTCCTCGTGTTTTCCATGATAGTTTCAGCCCATGCAACACCAGATAAAACACACCAATGAAAAAGCCAAAGTTGTATACTTTTGTTGCTGTTGTTGAGTATCTGATTGCGGTGTTACCCAACACACAAACACACCGAGCTCCTGGCCTCCCGATCCATTCAATAACCTCATACAACAGGCAGGGGTTGTTGGGGACCAATTCTAATCTGAAAATCTCAACGGCAATGGGGCCGTGATCACAGACTGCATTATATGGAATATGTCAATCATGTTGCATGTCCCCATATAAACAAACAATGACTGCGTGATCAAAGACACACCAGTACGACAGTCAACATAGTCTGATAACTACAGCTGCTTTGGTGCTCAGTAAGTATATGCTTGTGTTCAGATATAAGTTTTAGGCACAGTCACAATTTAAGGTATTATGTTTTGTCATATTTGTTCATTCACAATTTTTTATTGAATTATGAAAACTTTCAGTACACTTGTAGTGTTTTCAATGTTCCTCTATGTGCCAGCAGAGCTGGGTCCTCAGGATTGCCAGAATCCTATAATCGTGGTTGGAAACATGCTCCGGTTATACCGGTTTGTCTGATCATGAGCGATAATGTTTTGAATTTCGCCTACCGATGAAGTTATGATAATGATAAAGTACGGAAGCCTAGTAGGGCCACGGTGATTTTTTTGTCTAAGTATCTCCTACGTAGGACTTAGTATCTTCTACGTAGGACTTAGTATCTCCTACGTAGGTTTTACCATTTTGCTCAGTACTTGTCTCCCAAAATGTGCTCAGCTCAAACTACCAGCTCAAAAGCTACCGAACTTTCCATACTTTGTGTCCAAGTACCATGCTACCAAGTTCTGAGAATAAAAATGTCATTAATTGTCAACTGGTTCAGGCACATTGTCTTATTCAGTCATATTTTGGCAATTTGATCAATTTTGACACTGGTCGGAGAATCTCATTGTCACTGGTCTTCACTTTTGCTGATCGTACTCTACCGTCGGACCCTGCATAGGTCTCTATCACTTGTCCAATCTTCCACTCACTGCGAGTGTGAAGAGGGTCAATGATTAGCACAACATCGTCAGTTTGTACATTGCGCCGTTCGTCCGTCAATTTCACACGTGGCTGGAGATTTGGCAAGTACTCCTTGATGAATTTCCTCCAGAAGTGATCAGCTAGTACTTGACTTCGACGAAATCGTTTCTTTGTTAGTCTGTCTTCATTCAGGTAGACATCCTGAGGAAGTGCTGGGTCTGATCTCCCGATCAGCAAGGTGTATGGAGTTACAGGATCGGTATCGGAGATGTGAGATGAGGTGTAACACAGAGGTTTGGAGTTCAGAATAGATTCTACCTCTGTCATGACAGTTCTCAGGACAGAATCACTGACGGATTCAGTTCCTAGTATACTGCGTAGGCCATACTTGATTGATCTAATTTCACGTTCCAACAATCCACCAAAGTGAGGGGCAAATGGCGGATTGAATTGGAATCGGATATGGTTTTGGCAAGTTTTTCTCTCAGTTCAGAGTTCATAGCTTCAAAAGCTTTGCACAATTCATTTTCACCACCTTTGAAGTTTGTGCCACAGTCTGACAACAGTTCAAAGGGACAACCCCTCCTTGAGATGAATCTGCGAAGGGCCATTAGGAATGCGTCCGTGTCCAGACTGTCAAGTACATGTATATCAATGTGGACGGCTCGGGTTGTCATGCATTTAAAGATGATTCCATACCTTTTCTCTCTGCGTCTGCCAATCTTTATATACATAGGCCCAAAGCAATCTATTCCTGTCGAATAGAAGGGTGGTTTGAACAGTCTTAGCCGAGCCTCTGGTAGGTCGGCCATCAAAGAAATCTCTGGATTTGCTCTCCATTTCTGACAATCATGGCATTGTCTCTGATGTTTTTTAACAGCTTCACGGCCTCGAAGAATCCAGAATTTTCCTCTGATTTCACCGTGTAGTCTTTCAGCACCATAGTGGTGGAGGTCAGAGTCATATTTCTTTATGAGGAGCTTCGTAACATTATCATTTGGATCTAGAACAATGGGATGTTTTACATCGATTGACAGTTCATCACATCTTCTCAGTCTACCACCAACACGTATGACGTGATGGTTTTTTCATACTCTGGACTGAGTTGCGAGAGCCTGCTGTTAGATGCTATTCTCAGACCTTTCGATAATGCTTTCATTTCATCTCTGGACACAAGTCCTGCAGTGTCTTTCCTCTGGTGATATCATCAGCCGGGTTTTCTTCCGACGGGATATATCTCCAGTCAGGATATTCAGTAAGTGTTTGAATTCCTGCTACTCGAGTTCCCACAAACACTTTGTAGCGACATGATTGGGATGTCAACCATGCTAGGACAGTTGTTGAGTCACTCCAAATGATCACTTTGTGAATGTCAATGGTCATTTCACTGGTGAGTGTGCTGGCAAGCTCTTAGAGCAGCTAACAGTTCAAGGCGGGGCATTGAGAGGGCTTTCTTAGGAGCTACTCTGCTTCGTGCTGCAACAAAGGAGACATGAGATGATCCATCATTGGTCTCTGACTTGAGGTATGCGACAGAACCATATTCTTTTTCTGATGCATCACAGAAAATATGTAACTGTCTCTGATTGACTGGTTCAGGTGGATCAATGCATCTTGGAAGTGAGACTTGGTTCATAAGTTTCAGTTCAGATTCCCACAGATGCCATTCTGTGAGAAGTTCACATTCTGGAAGTGGTTCTCCCCACTGAGGTTTGTGTTGCCACAGTTGCTGAACGATGACTTTGGCTCTTGCTAGATAAGGTGTGAGGAATCCAAGAGGATCGTACTGACTTGCTAGTATCCGATATACTACATTCAGTGTCAGAGTAGAATATGCAATGGGTCTGAACTTGTAAGTGATACGATCCTTTTCACATTGCCATTGAAGGCCAAGAGTTCCTTCGTGTGGTTCAGTGTTGCCTTGCATGAGCCACAATTCACAAGTTTCAGATCTGGCTTCACTGGGCAAGTCCGTAACAACGTCAGGATCATTGCTTATCCACTGTCGGATATTGAATCCACCAGACTTCATAACATGACGTAGTCTACTGATGAACTCCCAGGCCTTATCAACTGTAGGGAATCCAGACAAGCAGTTGTCAACATAGAAGGAATCTTGAACTGCTTGTTGCACATCAGGATATTCCTCTTTGTTTTCTGTGCCCAGTCTCTGAATTGCATATGTGGCACAACATGGTGAACAAGTTGTACTGAATACTTTGCGATAACGTGATGTGGGATAAACCAGGACTCTGGTGTTGAAGATGCTTCTTCTTCACTTATCACTTTGACATATCCCTTGACAACAAGTTCTTGGATTTTCTCATTGTGTATGGATGCTATGTCAGGATGCTTGCTGAGTCTTCTCTCAGTTCTTCTCATGTTCTCTAACACAGACTCTTTACCTGTTTTGAGTACAGTCTTGTCAGGTATTCTGAGAAGAGGAGTGGCGAAGTGGATTTCACTATCTACTGTCACTTTGACGGTTTTGTCCTCAAGGGTTTTGAAGGCAAAATGGTCTCGCTTGGAACGAGTCACCTGTTTTGTGGTATATGGCAAGATGTCGATCTTCCATAGCCTCTCAACATCATCAGTTATCTGGAGTTGAGGTTCGTGTAAAGTTCGAGTCAGGAAGCAGTGTTGCTTTCTGTTAGGTTCAAAGGCACATGGTCCCTGCAGTGACCACCCTAGTCGTGTGTAGATGGCCACTGGAGTTCCTTGAGGCCCAGCTCTGACTGGTTGCAAGGGCAATATCAAGTCAGCATTATCTGATCCTATCTAGATTAGAGGTTTGGCATCACTGATGGCTGGTAGAGGCAGGTTCTGTAGGTGCGGATACATTTCCTGAATGTCTTTGACAGGATATGTATAGTTGGACAGGTTCATTTGTTCAGAGGTGAACACATTTTTGATTTCATGCTTTGTATCTGGATCAAAGGGGGATGAAATAGAGAGGTTCACTCTATGACCATCACAAGGAAAAGGTTCAGATTGGATCGTTGTCAACAATATGGAGTCAGGTTTTATTGACAGTTCAAGGTCATTCACCGCAGATGACAAGATCATGCTTCGCATTGACCCACCATCCACCAAGGCAAAAGTTTCAATGTCACATTTGCCATGTTATGTTACAGGAACAATTTTCAACATCACATTGTTGGGATTGTCTAGATAGAATGAAGTTGTCTTCTTCACAGTGATTTTGTTCAGTTCATGGATAGCATGAAGTATGGTTAGATGTTGACCTTGGCACTCTCGGCATGGCTTCTTAAGGTTGCAGTCTTGCTCTTTGTGATTTCTGCCACAACGGATGCACCTGTTTTTGTCCTTTATCCATTGATTCCATGTTTTGTTTCAAATGTGTTTCTTTCAGGTTGAAGAAATCATGAACTTTGATATATTGTGAAACATTGACATGATCTTTATTTAGTTTCAAATTTAGTTCCTAAATTTGGGGCGGCTATTATACAGTGATAGCTGTTTATGTGTTTGGAGATATTTAACCTGGGCTTCAGTTAATTAATACTATTCATTCTTTTAGTATTAACCAAGTCTATATCCAATTTTTCTGAAATTCCACTTTTGTTAGATCCAAGGTGTCAGCCACCATGTGGAGCAAATGTGTTGATCCTGACCCGAACCAGGATTTTGAGCCTTGTGAATTGACTTTGTGTACCAGACCCGACTTGTTTCAACTGTTATTAAACGTACCCATGAACCACACAACATGCAGAGATATGTCTTCCATGGCCGCCATATTGACTCTTACTTCCGGTCCAACGTTATCTTCAAACTTTTGACAGGACTTATTTAGCAAGCTCTGGCACTGGAAACTTATCAGGTAAAGCACTTGAACAACGTCTGTTGAAAGTGCTTCATCCAACCGTTTGGCCTGATAGCCCATGTCCTTGCGATTCCAGTTTTAAAGAGGGAACTCTTTCTTCTGGAACTACTTCTCGGTTGTGTTTTACCGATCCGCTCTCAAGTCAAAAACGTTTTTTCACTTGCTCTGTTTCTGCGATCTGCTTAATGTATGTATGGAGAGCATTAATGTTTTCAGCTGGATCTATATGAACATCGTATTTTTTGTTAGTTAATGGCGTACGTGAAAGCTCATATCTGCATTGACGCGAATACACAATACACAACGGATGTTCATTGACCTTGCAGCGTGTAAGCTTGAGGATGGGTCAGTCGTATGCATATTTGAACGAGAGCCACGGTAACGGTATAGCAAGATAGCGGTAGCGCTGTAGCGCTCTAATTAATCTGTATTGTATTACCACAACTAAAGGTAATAACAAACGGGGTAATCCGTTCACTT